CCCCAGGCCCCTTTGTGGAGAAGTTTTCCTGATGATCTCACTGGATGCACATTTCTAAATCGTTTGGTTGATTGTTTCATCATCGGAGGTCAATTAAAAGAAGGCGAGTTCCTGTCACCCTGATCCGAACCCCTTCGCTGCCAGAGCCCCAGAACAAAGGGAGGAATTGGGCTTGGGCTCAGCAGCTTGGATTCCCATTTGATTATTTCCAACAAGGGAGTGAATCTATTTTGGAGACAGTATTCCCAGGGGATGAGCTCACCGGCGCAGAGCATGAGCAAGGCTGGGGAGAAAAAAAAAGTAATACAGCCTTTTGTAATGTGTTGGAAACCTATTTACTACCAGGAGGCTGGGTAATTAAATGCCACTTCCTGGAGCAGAATGAAGCACCCTATGTAATGCCAGTGCAGAGGGATTTGGTCCCGACACAGTGTGCCCACTGATCCTGCCAGACACCCCACGAGTGTTGTGGATGGGAGGATGCAGTTTTGTGGGCTGTTTCTGTAAAACCACTGCAGCAGCCACATGTGGCTGACTGTGATTGATTCCAGCATCCTGTGCTACAGTGGCGCCCTTGGTGCAGTGTCCTAGGGGCATGGGATGGTGGAAGGATGAGTTTTCCATGTTTCCAATGTGCTATGCTGTGTGATATACACTGGTGGGGTGGCTCTGGGCAGATAGCTGCATGGGAGGAATAACAAAATCAAATTACCTGGAAAACGGTTTCCACACAGAGTTCTCCAGCTCCCTGTTTGTTCTGCTGCCACCTGGGCTGTCCCCCACTGCCTCACACCGAGCTGTGTCCCCATGGGTGCCAGTGACTCATGGTGCAGACTGTTCACTCAACCCTATCCCACAGCTCCTATTGGAAAATTGTTCCCCACTGGCCCAGCAGTGCCTGGATACTGCAGCCACACCAGTGCCCAGGTTCCAGGGCTAACCAGGCTTTCTCCAGGCTGGGAAATGGTGTATATCTGGGTGGATCAGGTCTGATCAGCACTGGCCTCAGCATCCGCTCTTTTCCTGCCCCTGTGCATGGTAAGAGAGGTATTCCCCACTCACTGAGAATCCAGGTTCATTGGACACTGAATACCTTAGAGTATAGCTTGGACACTGCTTGGAAAAGAGTGGCAGAGGTGTTTACCTGGGCCATTTGGAACTTTTGTAGGCAAATTGCTTTTACATGATGTACAGCTAATAATCTCCAGAATGTGAGAGAAGGGTTCTAACATGCACATCCCATGGGCACTGCAGCCATACCATGATATCCTCTGCAAAACTGCCTGTGCAACTCACTGTGGCACTCTGTGTTGTGGCTTTTTTTAAAAGATTAAACCAGAGATGTTGGAAGAATATCTTGTGTTCCTCCTCCTTGTTGCTCACAAGGAAAACAGCAATTCCTGCTGTTACCCCTGGAGCTGCTGGGGTGTCACAGGTCTTGTCCAGCACTTTTGTGAGTGGCAAAAGGGAATGGCTCCCATGGCTGTGGTCCAGTCCCAGCTGCTGTGGCTGGGGCCAGAGCTCTTGCTGGCCAGAGGAAAGGAAGGATGGGCCCCTGGGCTGGCACATGAGCACACGTGTTTGCACGTGAGGCTGTGGCTGCGAGGGCTGTCCGGATGCCTCCAGCGCATCGCACTGCTGATGGAGCCTGTGGTGTGTGCTGTGGGGAGGGACATCTCCTGGCACCATGCTGAGTGCAATGTCCCTTCCAAGTGGGATACCCCGTCCGCTGTGGTGCTGGACCTTGTGGCTCTCTGCAGAGCCTGGAGCTTTCAGCTTTCCTGTACCAGTGAAAGTTAAGAAGTGGAGGAAAAACGTTGCTGTATGTTATAGAGGAAGAGAGGTAAAAAGGGCAGGAAATTTGCACCATGTCCATTTCCCCTTGGCCCCCGGCCGCTGCTCATTCCGGATTCGGGATTTGCGTAGGCAGAGTTAAAAATAACAGGGGTATATAAAGAAGGACGGAGAGGGCTGCACTGGCCCCGCAGCCACCAGGGCACAGCCAGGCAGCAAGCAGAGATCAAAGCGGAATGCGGTCCACGCGATGCAGTGGGGCTGGGAGCGTGTGCAGGGTCTGGGGGTGCCGCTGGGCTGCTTTGCCAGGGGTGGGATGCCAAGATCTGCCATCTTGGCAGCCTCCTGGCCAAGCAGCTGGGCAGCACCCATGGGAGAAGAGGCCGTGTATATTCCCGTAGGCAAAGACATCTCCCACGGACCCTGTCCCTCTGTAGCCTTTACTCTGCTGACATTCACTGAGAGCAACCTGACCTGTCTGCTGTGGCCAGAGAGCTGCGTAGGGAGCCTGGATATGGCCTCCAGCCAAAGTACCCTGTCCTGGGACTGAGCTCCCTGTCGGTGCTGCCGGGGTGCTGCCTCGGGTCTCCCCAAGTCCCTGGCAGCCCCGGTCCTCAGCCGTGCATCCCGGTGCTCCCCAGACCCCAGGGTAGGCAGGGCGGACACAGCAGCTTGCTCGGCCGGTGCAAACGAATCTGCCCTCTGTGCCCTGATAACATTGTGTTTGTTGCGGAGCGGGAAGAGCCTGCCAGCACACGATAAGAGCAGATGACTTTACTCTGGACCTGCTCCGGATTGAATTATGCTTTAATTTCATTTTCAGTTCCTCTTTTCTTTTCAGGAGGGGAATGGGTCTTTGGGGGTACAGGCAGTTCTGGGGGCTCCTGGACCCTTCTCTAGGCAGGCCAGTACCATGCAGAGGGGAAGACAGAGGGTAAAACCCAGCCAGATTCATTTTCTGCTCTCAGGGATATAACCCTGGAGTGTCACAGTTGTTTAGGGTGTTCTGCAGTGTGGATCCCCCTGGCACCTCTCATGGGGTCCCCTGTGGAGCTTTTGGGACTTGGATTTTGCCTCCCACTGAAGCAGAAGCTCTCTGGGCTGTGATGCTGTAGGTGGTGTTGGAGAGGGGGCACTGGAGATGCTCTGAGGGAGAGTCCTTGGGTTTATTTCAGTCTCCCAACTCCAGGTGACAGCACAGAAAAGGATGCAGTGCAGGTGTGTTTCAGTCCCCAGTGTTTTGTGGGGTAGGGCCTCCTGGGAGCCCTGCTGAGCAACCTGGGCACCAATTCCACCTCTGGTGGTGCCACAGGGCACTGTCCCCCTGCCCATCCCACCCGTGCTCTGTGTCATTGGAGAAGGTGCCATGGCACTGTGGAAGTGTTGGCAGGGCTGACAATGCTCTTGTTGTGACAGGGCCACCTGTGGCACACCATGCTGGGCAAGCCAGGTTCCTCATTCCTCTGCTGCCAGATGTGCCAAAAGCAAGGATAACCATTAACCCTTTCCTCTTTAGCCATCACCTGGGTGGGTGGCCCTTCCCACTTTCTGTTTGCTCTCTTGCCTGGCTGCTGTTTGATCTCTTGGGATGCCAGCAACTTTACAGTCTGCTGTAGTGGCGCAGGAGATAACCCACGTTTCCTAAATGGGCTTCTGTCAACAGCAGGCTGTGCATGCACTGTCTGCTCCTGCTTGCCTCCCACTCACCTCAGAGGGGGCTTCTGTGGCCAAGGGGCTGACAAAGCTGTGGCAGGGACCCCCAGTGCCCACCCCATGGCTCACAGCAGGAAAACCCTGCCCATGACGCACTGCTGGCTCCCTGCACACTCAGCACTGGCAGTGCTTGTGTTGCTGCGGTGCCTGGCATGCTGCCGCTCCCCGCCGCGCCGGCCCTCCCACCAGAGCATCAGTAAAAAGAGTTTCCTGGGGAATATCCCACATTTGCAAGAATTATTGGCTTTAAAAATTAAGCTGATCTGTTGGCGAAGCCTCTCAAAATAAGTCAGCATGGGTGCAAATGCCAAAACTTCCTGGAAAAGGGGAAAACCAAGATGAATTAGTCTGTCTCCTATGGCATCTTCTCTGACTTATCTGCAAAAGTTTGGGGCAGGAACTGCCTTGCTATTAATTATTATTTGGCCAAGAAACAAGTAATGGGATTAACTGATGACTTGAATAAACTACTCTGGGAGGCAAGCTAAAAGTAATTTCAGGTAATGCCTACATGCTTCTTTGCCACTTCGGAGGTGGCTTTTTCCAAGGAAGGACTTTGGAGCCCATGCGTTTTGACCAATAGGTGCCATTAATAAACCTGCTGCCTTGCCAGCAGACAAGCAGATGGGGCCCAGGCAGCAGCCCAACATGTGCTCTGGAAACCAGGGCAGGGATTCTTGGTAAAAGGGGGAAGATCTGAATTGTTGTTGTTCCACTGGATTACTGAAATAATTTATTGCAATGCTCCACCCTTATAATTAAAGCGCGGTGATGAAAGCAACTGGTAGAGTAGCTTTGGATTCAGAAGCGGCATGTGCGTGTGGTGTGTGTGCACACCTCACCTTTGGTGTTTATATTTGTTTTTTTTTAAATTGACTCCTTGCTTCTGAATAGAGCAGGCAGCAGCCTCAGTTCTTAGAAAGGTATCTGGAGATGGACAGCTCCAGAAAGCAGGGAGACAGGCTCCAAGAGATAAGGGACATTGCTTCTGAGCTCAACAGCAGCAGGGCCGTTCCTGGTACTGGTTGGATGGGGGCCAAATGGAGAAGACCTTGCTGTGAGCCGGACAGGGAGGCAGAGAGCCCCTGGGGAGGCCTGCCCAGTGCCCTGGGTCCTCTGTGCCATCATCCAACCAGCTAGAATAGGGTGGGTCTCCTGCAAAGCAGGATAACCTGCTGTCCTTGTGTCCCCTGCCATGGGAAGCCCTCAGGAGGACAGTGCTGTCCCAGGGGCTGCTCAGGGTGGGCAGGGTGAGACAGCCGGCCCGTGCCCCTCAGTGCCAGGGCGGTCGGAGACTCAGCCACAGCACTGTCCCTAAGGAGGGCAGACAAACGTGTTGTGGGGGCTGTGGGGCGAGATGAGGCGATGCCGGCAGCGTGCCAGCCCCCGACAGGGTAGACGAGCAGTTATCTCGGCTCGCACACGCACCCTGCACGCAGCCAGATGCGAGCTGGTACGCGCTGTGCTGCTGATTGCCTCACCGACAGCCGCGGCGCGGGAGGACGCGGCTTCACGGGTGCGCTTACGAATGAAACGAATCGCGTGGGGGTGTGGGGGCACCGGGGCTCGGTTATCTGGTTCACCTCCTATGGTGGCACAAGCGCCCCTTTTTGGGACTGCACCTTCGCTCGCTGACGCGCTCGGTGGCCCCCGTGGCGAGTGCAGTGTCCGGCACAGTGGATGAAATGCTTTTTACCTGTTCCCCTGCGCCAGACCTCTCCGGCACTCTCTGCCTCCACACAGGGTGCATGTGACAGAGCCATCGCCCCTGTCCCACTCGGGACAGGGTGCCGGGGGACCTCCGGCACTGCCACCTACAGCCCTCCTCCCCGCTCGTGGTGTGGGCAAGCCTTAGGGGCGCCGCTGCCCCCTTCACATCGCGGGCAGGATTCTGGCCTCCGCGATCCACAACAGCACCCTTGTCTGTTCTCCGCCGTGCGACAGTCTCGCAGAGCAGGGCAAAGAGGGACGTGGGGACCCCGCCGCTCTGCCCCGTCCTCTCCCGCCCCGCGCGGGCTCCGAGCGCCGTCGGGGCAGCGGCAACCGTCGACCCCCGCCCGCCGGGACAGCCCCGCCAGAGGGGCGTGGCTCGGGCTGCAGCAGAGCCAATGGCAAGCGGCGGCGGCGAATATCAATGCGGGCCGGACCAATCGGGGCGCAGCCATGCTGTTAACAGCTTAGGGGCGCGGGGCGGCGCAGAGCAGCGCTGCTGCCACGGGGAGCGGAGCGGTGCCGTGCCGGGCTCCGCGCACCGCGCTCCCCCAGCCCGCCCCGGCCCCGCTCGCCATGGCGGCGGCCGTGGACGAGAGCGCCCTGCCCTCGATCTCCACTTTCGCCAACTTGATGCCGCTAGAGGAGCGGCCCGCCGACATGCTCCACGTAAGCACCTGGCACCGGGGAGAGGGTGGCAAGGTGGGTACGGGACAGCTCGTTCCGGGCTGGGGCTCAGCCCGGCCAGGGAGTGGGGGGCGGACCGCCTTCTCGCCGTCGGAGGGCGCCCCGGGGGCGGCGCAGCTCAGCCGGAGTGGTGCCGACCCGTCGGACGGGTTGGGGGGAGCCGCCGCCCCGAGCGGGAGGCGCGGGCCGCGGTGTTGAGGCGGCGGGTGCCGCTGCAACCGTCTCCCCGCCGATCCTGACGCTTCGTTTTCCCGCAGAGGATGCTACAGCAGGATGGCCCCGCTGCCGTCAAGCGGGAGGAAGACGACTTGGGCAAGTTCGTGGACCTGGACTTCATCCTGGCGCACACCAGCAGTGGCGGGCAGGGGCCGACCGGCCCCAACTACCCCCTGCCCGAGACCCCCGAAAGCTGTGGCACCACCTACGACAGCGACGGCTCGTACTCCACGCCCGGCAAATTCCCGGCGCCTTACCCCGAGGGCCAGAGCCACAGCTACGTGGCTGAGCTGCTCACCCCGGACCTGCCCGGCCACTACGACCTGCAGCGGAGGGAGTACACGGAGCTGCGTGTGCCCGGCGGCCCCCACCACCACCCTCACCCCCATCACCATCCGCCCCTCCACCCGGCCCTAGCCCGCCCGCTGCCCCTGGACCCCGCGCAGTCCTTCGGGCCCCGCATCAAGAAGGAGCAGCCGGAGGAGCGCGCCTGCATGCTAGGGATGCCTGCCGCCGAGTACCTGGGACCGGGCGGCGGCGAGCACAAGCCACGCGTGGCGCCGGGTCCCGGGCCGGGACCGGTGCCGGGGCCGCCGCTGCCCTACCCGGGCTTCCCCCACGGCCGCTTGGGGCCCCCTGAGGAGCCGCTGCCTGGCGCCGATCCCCACCTCTTGGCCGACCTGCCGCCCCACTACGCCGTGGCCCCGCACCGCTATGCGCCCCACTTCGCCCCCCAGCCGCCACCGCAGTTTCATGGACATTTCAGTGTTTTCAGGGAGCCCCTGAAGGGGCCGGGCCCGGGCCCGGCGGGGCTGCCCGGGCTGCTGGTCACGCCGCCCAACTCCCCGGTGCTGGAGTACTTCCCGACCGGGGCTCCCCCCGAGGACTGCAAGCCCAAGCGCGGCCGCCGCTCCTGGGCGCGCAAGCGAACGGCCACGCACAACTGTGAATACCCGGGCTGCGGCAAGACCTACACCAAGAGCTCGCACCTCAAGGCGCACATGCGGACCCACACGGGTAAGGGCGGCCGGGGCGGCGGCACGCATAGAGGGTCCCGGGTGGGGGTACGGCGGCACGTGGTGAGACCCGCCAGCGTGGTTCCGTGGGTGTGAATGGGGCGTCGCGGGAGGTGCCACCGGGGGTGAGGGGCGTGTCGCGTGGGAAAGACCCCTGCGGTATGTCAGAGAGTGCACGGTGGGTCCCCGTGATGGGGCTGTGTGAGGGCACCCAGAGATAGCCCGCGTGGAGGCGTTCTGCATCTAGGGCAGGGGGAAATGGGGATGGCCCCCGAAGTGCTCAGGACCCCCGTGGTGGCGCTGGGCAGGGACACATAAGGACTTGGCGTGTAGCAAGACCACTCTTGTGGCTCCTCCAGTTGCTGGTTTTGGTGCCCGGGGGTGCCTGAGTTGGTAGGACTTAGGGACACGGAGAAACCCTCCACTTGGGCTAGGGAAAAACAGAATAGGGAGACAGCCTGGGGGTTCTATGGTGAGAGCCTCTGGTCGAGCTGGAACAGGGCACATGGTGCCAGCCCACAGCAGGGGACCACCCACAGTTTAAAGTGAAGCAGGGGCACATAGGAGGGGTGCTGTAATGGGGCAGGGATGCTCAGAAAACAAACTTTTGCACATGGGGAAGGGCAGAAAAATGGGGGACAGAAGGGGAAAGTTGGGCAGGTAGAGGTGCGCAATGGGCCTCACATCTCCTTGAAAAGGGGGTGCTGGATAAGGTAGCACAGAACTGAAGGCACAGGGAGGGTGGGAAGCTACAAGCCCACTGACACCCTCTCTCCTCTGCAGGCGAGAAGCCCTACCACTGCACCTGGGAAGGATGTGGCTGGAAATTTGCCCGCTCCGATGAGCTGACCCGCCACTACCGCAAGCACACAGGGCACCGGCCGTTCCAGTGCCACCTCTGCGAGCGGGCTTTCTCCCGCTCAGACCACCTCGCTCTCCACATGAAGCGGCACATGTGAGCAGTGGCTGCGGCCGGACTCCATGTCCCCGGAGCCAGCTCACGGTGTAAATAGTGTCGGGCCAGGGATGGCAGTGGGGAGCAGCCTGGCCACCCAGCCCCCTCCGCTTGTAGTTGATAACTAGTTTTCTCCTCCTGCTCCTGTGAGAGCTGGCCCAGCCAAGTGGTGGGGAAGGGCTGCTTTGGGGATGTACGTGGGGAGCAAAACTGCAAGAAACATCTGCCCAGTCATCACCACTCAGCTCCCCGTGCCTGGAGGGTTCCCCCCAGCCAGGTACTCAGTGAGTGGGGGAACTGGTGCATAAGGGATCTGTCCCCAGAATTCCTGGCTTGTATTTGGCATCAGCTTAACCTTCTTCCCCCAGATTCTGGCACCCCCCTGGCTCTAGGGGCTGTGGTGGCTGACTCTGGCTGCTTTTTGGCTGCAGAGCCATGCCAGTTGGGCACGTTGGTTGTGATGCTGGGAAATGGGTTGCTGGTTGTCTCAGTTGTGATCATCAGAACAAACTTCCTGACCCAAAGCGGATGGGACAAGGGTGGGATTTGACTGGCTCATGGCTATAAAGGTTTGCAGGTGTTGGCAGCACAGTGTCACCTTGCACAGAGGACAGGGATGCTCCTATCACCAGCCTGGGACCCCACTGGGCAGTCCAGCCCTGGCCATTCCCAGTTTTCCACTCAAGAGCCTAAAATGTCTCTCCTGGCTCTTGTCTGCTTTATTTTGTTTTGTTCTTCCCCTCAGGATGACACCAGGTACTGCTGCAGCTGCCTTCCCCATGCTGCTTTTTAAAATTTAGTATGTAAAGGACAGTGAGTCCAGCTATGAATGCCCAGGTCTCTGCTATACTTGAAATTTTTGTAGAGGGGGGGGACAAAAAACAAAGCTCAAAAGAAAATGAGTCTTTTTATGTGCAGCTTCTGCAAAGCAAGTTGTAAATTAAACAAAGCAGTAATATATAATGTTTCTGGTTTTTTTAATATATTTTCTTCCAGCTGGGAACACAGATGAGTCTCAGCTTTGGGAAGTGCACTGTTCCCGTCTGTGTATATTGTTAATTAACATTTCTCTGCTTGGGCACGTTAGGTCTCTTGCACTCTGAAATGTTACTTTTCTTTATATGCAAACTGTTGAAATATTGTGATCTGCTGTATAATAAATAAACAAGATGTAAACATGAAAGAGCCAGGAGAGTTTACTTTAAAGGTTTCTTCTAAGAGGAGAGGGTGAGGCTGAGCTTGTTTGTCAGTAAATATTTACATCGATGTTCATTTCTGCTTAAGTTAGCTGTGGAGGATCGATGGGGAACGCCCAAGCCTCGGCATCTGAGTAGCATCTCCTGTGCAACAGCTCTTGAGTCACCCCACTTCCCTGTGCCTCAGTTTCCCTAATCTGCAGATGGGGCAATTGCGGCACTGGGATGGTGTGACTGGTCCTGCGGTGAGTCATCTCTAAGGAGAATGGCAGCCGAAACTCAACTGAGAGCATTGCTGGTCCTGAATTCTTCTTCAGCAGTCCTGTCCTGCTGTGCCTCACAGGGGGAGCTCTGCAGTACTGGCCTTGCGGTCACAACCAGCAGGGAAGTTGGTGTCAGCTGGCTGGTCCTGGGTGCTGTCTCTGCTGTCCTGGGGATGGCCTGGCAGCTTGGCGGGGTTCAGGTGCTGAGGTTTCCCCGCGTTAATAGATGGTGACTCAGCACAAGCATGCTGGCAGGTCCCGGAGCTCAGCAAGCAGGTCTGGCTCCATCCCTCCCTCCCTCCCTCCCACAGCTGATTACCTGTGATGCACGAATCCCTCTGAAGGCAGGAACTTGTCCAGACCTGACACCATGCTGGCAGTGCAGCGAGCACACAAGCTCTGTGATGCCCCGGCCCAGGGTGGTGGTGGCAGTGGCTCCCTCCCCCTGCTCATCTCTGCAACCCCCAGCAGCTGGTCAGGGCTGGAGGGTGCCCTGGGGCTGCTTGCCCTGCAAGTGGAAGTGGGATGTAGCTGGGCTGATCCCACTCTCTCCAGTTCAGATAGGAATGGCAGAGCAGGTCTGATGTTCCCCTGAGGAGTGGCCAATATTTTGGTGTTGGGCTCCTTGTTTTGGGACCAGCACCCACCCTCGTGGTTTGCCCTTGAGCAGGTACAAAAGCATGGGTGATTCTAGACAGGGTGGCAGCAGCTTGGGACATAATGTTCTGCCTGTAGGCTTGAGATCAGGACCATGGGGCTGCATCCACAGGTGTCAAGATCCATCAGGCTCAATCACTTGTCCTTTCCACTGCTGCCTCCACCCTCTGCTTGCCCCATTTTCTGAGAGGTGCTTGTGCAGGGGTGCCTGTGCTGGGACACATGTGGCCTCTGATGCAGTACTGGGGATATCTTGTTCCCGGGACCACCAGAAACCAAGGACAAGGCTACAATGCCAGGGGATAGCTGGGGCAAAACTTCTGCCTCTTCCCTGGAAACTTGTTCAAAACGTCACATGGAGGGAGAGGGAAAGGTGTGGGCTGTTTGAATTAGCGATGAGTCAGGCTGGCAAAGCCAGATGGGGAGAGTGCGTGCCTGCGTGTTTGTGTGCGTATAAGTAATCTCTGGCTTTGTGTTTTTATTATGATTATTATTTTTATTTCCAGGGGAACGATGAATTTCTCCAACCATCCTGTCCCACTGGAAAGGCTGGCTCTGCTGTCCTGTCCTCCCTAAGCATCCTGGGAGCTGGAGTGACGGTTCACGCTGTTTTGAGGTTCAGCTCTGAGATCAGAGCACAAACCAGTTCTTTCTCGCCTTTCATCATTGCTGTGCCAGGGCAGGAGTGAGGTCCGGCTCTGCTGCCACTACCTACACGGGGAGGCGAGAGCAGGGGAAGGTGCTTTGGCTCCTCCAAACAGAGCTGCTCTGGGTTTGCTCCCCTGTGCCTGGGGCAAGGCACTCCTTCAGGCACAATGGGGCACGGCAGTCAATGGCCCAGCATGGCTGGGAATCACCGCATGGCTGGGGAGGAGTGGCTGTAGTGGAAAAGACAATTATGGTTAATTTGTTGTTAATAAAAAACACCCTCTTCCAATTGCCTGGGCGAAGACACACTCTCCATTGGAGGAGGGAGGCCAGTCCTGTCCCCAGCAAAACCTGCCCGTCAAAGTGATGAGGGCAGCAAGAAAACACCTTTGGCAGCACTGAGGGATGAGGCACGGCTGGGGTGCAATCCCTGTGGTGCGTGCACCTGCAGTCAGCTGGAGAACCCTAAGGTAGACCATGCCTCCCTCCCTTCCTTTTCCACCTTGGTCACTTCCTGTCAAAAAGGACCCTGGGAACTGTACAGAGCTCCCTGAAATGTCTAACTCTTAAGCCCCATGGTTTTGGGGTACAGCTGAACTGGTCCAATGAGGAGGCAAGGGAGTAAAGGAAGGAGCAAGGTATGGAGAAACACCTCCCAGCAGAAGTGTGAGTCATGGTCACAGTATGGCCTGGTACCTGCCAGTTGGAGCAGGGCCCTGGGGTCTTCAGAGCTGGAGAGGGGTGAAAGAGAAACTTGAGTGGGTTTCTGTTGTCTGGGGATGACCCAGCTCATGGGAATCCCCCATGCTACAGCTAACAGGTCCCACAGCTGGCCTGGGATTGTTGATCCATAGGGAGAAGGAGTGTTGCAGATCTGAAGGTTCCTTAGCCAGGGCTTGACCTTTGGGATGCTGTGGTCCATGGGGACAGCATGGAGCTGGGGAGGAGACAAGAGTGCTGTGGGTGGGATACAGCCTGGGTGCTCCAGGGTGGGAGGATACTTTGGGGGTGCTTGGGCAGGCTGACACAGACCATTCGTCACCATGAGGCCAGAGCTTGGGTCCCTAGGACCAAGGTGTCCCTGCTGAAGTACGCTCCCAGGGCTTGAGTCTCCCATCGGAGGAGCAGTGGGAAGTGCCCCATCCCTGCCTTGGGGGGAAGGTCCAGCAGCCTGTCCCCGTGTCCATGCTGCTTGGGGTGGGCCAGGTGCCACGATAACGGGGCTGTGGCTGTCACCGCACCCTTAGGAAACATTTGGCTTCAGGCACCTGAACCCACGGGGAAGCGATAACTCCCGGCTCCCTTGCCCTGCCTGGACCCACACCTGGCGCTGTTGTGCCTTAGTCACACACGGAGAGTTTTTCCACTGCCGGGCCCCAGATAACCTTCTCCTGCCCCACTGGCCACAGTGTTTGCACTTGTCCTCCTCCGCTGGTGCCAGGCTGGCAGACACACACACCCTGAGCCCTGGTCAGAAGGCACGCACACCTCTGGCCTGGGGCCACCTTTGGTCATACCTGGCAGCCAGGGCATGGATAAAGTGCATCCTTCCCCAGCATCCTGAGGTGGGCGAGGAGCTGGCCTGGAGGGAGCCCTCCTGCCAGGGCTAAATCTGGGGGCATATCTCTCCCCCAGTTGCTTGGTGGCAGATCGCCCAGGCTTGGACCCTGGACATCCCTGGTATCCAGACAGCTGGAGGTGGGTGACAGTGTTGTAGTGACAGGACAGTGATGCCAGAGTTCCAGGGCACAGAAGCACTGGGCTCCTGGTCACTGCTGGCTGTCCTTGATTCCCTGAATCCCCTTCCTGTGCCCTGGCGAGGCAGGACCCTCGTGGTCAGATCTGGGCACAGTCCCAGTACAGGACTCAGTGATGGACCAGGTACGTGACTCAGCTTCCCAGCCTTTCCCCTTTGCTAGCTTTGGGATGCAGTGACCATTAACAATAACTCCAGGCCAGAAACAATAACTGCAGGCCCCCCTGAAGCAGTGCTAATTGCTCTGCTGATGAGCCCATTAGCAGAAGCACCCGGCTAATGTGTTTCATCTGCAGGTCCATACAGCTCCAGGTGGGACACAGCTCCCGGGGCTCACAGAGGTGTGGGGGAGGCAGGTCAACAAGTGGGAGATATAATCAAAAAACGCGCTGAATGGCCCCATCTGTCTCAAGACTTTATTTTTGGAACTGGCTTTTTGTTTTCTTTAAGTGCCGCTTAACGGCATTTAAAGGATGAACGGACTGCGAACAACCGAACAACCCGCCATGAGTGGCAAAAAGAGAAGCCCCATTTTTGGTCTTACAAAGCTCTCCATGGAGCCGCAGTGCCAGGCTTGCCAGGCAGGTAGAGACTGCAGAAGTTGGGAAAGCCTTGTTTCCTTCTGCAAGCCCACCTTGGGGGAGTGTGGACCCCGCTTGCAGGCCAGCTGTGGCAAGAGCAAGGAAATGTGCTAGAAATTATTGGCAATGTCCACACACACTGGTGGGGGTACTTGGGTAGAGGAGGCAGAGCTGAGAGCAAATAGGGCAGGCAAAACCTCAGCATCAGCTCTGTCCTTGTGGGAAGGATGCTAAAAGCCATCCCTGATAGTGTGGAAAGGTGTAGAAAAGGGGTTAAATTATTTCTGGGGACAACAGATGGTACTCTGGGGGTGTCACCTGTTCCCATTGTGGCACACTGGCGTTGTTTGGGCACTGATACAGAGGTGATGTGCCAATCCTCGTGGGAAGGGCTCACCAGCAGGATGGGAATGGTGGTAACTTCAGCACAGCCTGGCTGGCATTGAGGGATTCTGTGCAAGAGCTAGTGGGGTTCAGCTCATCCCAGGGCTGCAAGGAAAAGAGATTCCCCTCAGAGGCACTCCCTCTCCTGGGCTATCCGAAGTGGCCAGCAGGTCCCAGTGTTTCTCTGTGCCCAGTGAAAAAACCATCTGGGCAAGGCTGCCTCTGCCTCCATCTCGCAGGAAGGTGATTCCTCAAAGTCCCTCCTGGCCCCACACCACTGTTTTCTCTCCTTTCCTCGTTCCCCCATCTCTTCCCACAGAGAAGAGGAAACAGGAGTCTTATTAATAAAACTCTCACTCCGGGCTGCCTCATGTGAGCGCCGCGGCTCTGGAGCCTAGAGCATGAGGGCGAGGAGCGCACGCTGTGGCACACGAAGCCAGGCCGGCAGCCCGAGTGTGCCGTGAGGCGCGGCTGGCGCGGGCTGGCCCCTGGCACGGCTGGCGGCGAGAACGGGACAGGGCAAAGCCGCCAGCGAGCGCCTCGGGAAAGGAGACGGGAAAACTGCTGATGAGAAACTAGGGTCAGCCCCGGGACCTCGGCAGAGCAGCGACCCATCACACAGTCCCCAAAGGAACGGGGGCACGGTGGGCGCGACGAGCGCATTCGCGGCGCCCCCTCCCCGCCGCGCGGGCCGGGCT